TCTTGATTCCCCGATTAGAACTAGTGGCTGGACATATGGCTGCAAATCTAATAAAAAATGTGAAAGAAGTCCTGAAGGGTTTTCCCGTAAGAAGTGTCTATGGTTGGCTGGATAGCACAGTCGCACTGCATTGGATCCGTGGTAATGGCGAATACAAACAGTTCGTGGGAAATCGAGTGAGGAAGATCCAAGAAAAAGAAATAAACTGGAGGCATGTACCAACAGAGGAGAATCCTGCGGACGTGGGGAGTCGGGGAGGAGATGTTAGTAGATTGACAGCTCTTTGGTGGCAGGGACCAAGCTGGTTAGCAAAACCGCAGGACTGGCCGCCAGACCTTGTAACGACATCTACTCAAGAATCAAAAGCGGAAGAAGTGAAACAAACTCGCGAGTTGTTTGCTCTAGCAGTAGAGAAAACAGAGAACAACGACGCCTTCGATGCGCTGCTGGAGAAGTACGAGCTGTGGCGTGTGTTGCGAGTGGGTGCTTGGATCTGGAGATTCCTCCACAACATAAGAACCGTCCGTAAACAGAGAATCGTTGGTCCCCTTACAACTGAAGAAATACAGAAACAGACAACGTTCTGGATCAAGCGATCTCAGCAACAAGCAAAGTCGAGCCAGAAATTTGAAGAAGACCGTTTACAGTTGAATGTGCAAGGAAACCAAGAGGGAAAATTAGAATGTAGGAGAAGAATTCAAGGCCATTACCCCATCTTTCTGCCAGACTCCTCGCCCTTCACTCGCAAGTTAGTTCACCGATCACATGTCGACACACTGCACGGAGGAGTGGCCCTTACCATGACCAAAGTGCGAGAGCTATACTGGGTACCGCGTTTAAGGGCACTCGTAAAACAAGTTCTCAGAGCGTGTTCAGGCTGCAAGCGTTTTCAGGCCATGGCACTGGCAACGCCGCCTCCCGGACTCCTACCCACTGACCGCACAGAGGGGAGCACCCCATTTGAGGTTATCGGAGTCGATTTTGCAGGGCCCATCAAGTACCGTATCAGAGCCAAAACAGAAGGAAAGGCCTATCTCGCATTGTACGCGTGCAGTCTTACCCGAGGATTATTCCTGGAAGTACTACCAAGCCTGGAAACCAGTGAATTCCTAAGAAGTCTAAAACGGCTCATCGCGCGCCGTGGGCGTCCGAAGAAGATATATTCCGACAATGGCAAAACCTTTGTTGGCGCCGAGAAGTGGCTCAAACAAGTTATGCGTGACGAGAAGACACAAGATTACTTAGCACATGAGAACATCAAGTGGCAATTCAACCTCAGCCGCGCCGCTTGGTGGGGAGGACAGTTCGAGCGCCTCATCGCACTGGTAAAAACAGCTTTAAACAAGACTATCGGATGCGGAATGTTGACCTGGACAGAGCTGTGTGAAGTGGTACTGGATGTGGAGATTGCTTTGAATAATCGCCCTTTATGTTACGTCGAAGACGACATACAGTTACCCGTGCTTACCCCTAACTCACTGCTATTTCTTCGATCAAACCAGCTACCAGAACTGGAACCACACCATCTAAGAGAATTTGATCTGCGTAGAAGAGCTAAATATTTGCGAAGGTGCAAGCAGGCTTTGTGGACCAGGTGGACTACCGAATATTTACGAGGGTTGAGAGAACGACACCGGATGAAACACAAGGGTCAAACCACGCCCTTGGCCAAAGGAGAGGTAGTCATCATCAAGGACGAGGAACGAAATCGCAATAAATGGAAAATTGGAATCGTGGAAGATCTGATTTCGGGACGAGACGGAATCGTTCGAGCTGCCAAACTTCGAGCGGGGAAAGGAACACTTGAACGGGCGGTACAACACCTTTACCCACTGGAGCTGTCCTGCGATCGGGAGAATGTACAGGCTCCTCTGCAGCTCAACCCTTTAGCCCCGACATTCAGGCCCAGGGATGGGATGCAGCGGTAGCCGCTCGTTATCGCATTCAAGATGCGAACATTGATGCCGATTAGAGATATTTAGGAACACTGAACTGATATACTGGACTAACTTTCTGTTTCGTTCATTGAATTTCAAATTTTATCGAGCGCGCCATTCTAGTGTTTTTCTCCGTTGAGAAAAACAGGGGAGTGTGTGAGAGATTATTCAGCGTTAATTGATTTCCGGTTGATTTTTTGCGATAAGTGACAGATGATTGAACAATAGGATCATATTATATATTTAAAAATGAGAGAGACCAGAGCGAAAGACAGAGAACGGTGAGAGAGAGCGGGAGATTAAGTTGATTTTATAAAATAAAACGTGAAATTTCGGAACATAGCAGATTCTTTAGTCTCATTTCCGACAAACAAAAGTGGAGACTATTACATCGAATTCAATCTTATTTTCTAATTTTCACGATTATTAACTGTTGAGGGATCCGAAATAACACCTTAACAATTTCAAAGACGTCCAGAGTCTGGCGATCTGTAGACAATGCAGAGCCACTCGCCCTCCGCGGCAGTCTTAAATCCCTTGCAACTCATGTGTAACCATTCCTCGCAAAACTCGCACTGTACCATGTCGTCCCAACACTCGAGCATTGAACAATGACAAAATAAATTAGTGTCACAAGTTTGTCTCTTATTGAATCTAGCGGTGTTCGACTATCGTGGAAAAGGTTCAAAAACAACCTCTCTCCTGACATTAAACTAAATTCTTGCCCATTTTCCCTTGGTCAAAAGAAACATCCGACGGGATGCCAGTTCGTATGCATTAACGATACGCATGTTTTGAATTAAAAACATACTTTAGTACGCATTGGAAAGTAAGGTATCAGCCATTTTTACTAGAACGCTAAGGATGATGTTTTCATTTTTGCACTTGATGCGCGCGCTTTGCTTATACTTAATTATGATAAGCCATCTCGTATTTTTCATGTTTATTATTAACACGTAATCACATGACATTTTTCTCGTACAATTTGGAATAAATAAGCACCTGTTATTTTTTACAAAGACCACAAATTGCACCGGCCCTACGGGCTCGTACAATTTTATCAGTCTTTAAAAAAATTTACTCGTGTTTATTTATTCCAAATTGCAATCGAAATCACAAATCGTGCTGGTGGTAACAAATCACGTCCGAGAATTTTGTTGTAGTTTTGGTTAGAACTAAAAAAAAACCGTAATATGCAGATAAATTATGATACATAAGTAAACAAGAGAATTTATCATATAAACTTTGGTATTACATAAGGATTTTCGGCCCTATGAAAAGCCTAACAACAAACACGAAAAAATATCGTATTTTTTCATGTGTGGTTGATATCGCCAATCAGCTGCTGAACGTCACTCACCTTTCGCGCCACTCAGTAGGTTGATTAATGAACAACGAAGCCTTCACCATTCTCAATCAGTAGTCGTTTGTGGGAATTTTTTCGGATTATGGCTGCCAAAACATTGAAAAATCCGTATAACTTACAGACAGTAACGTTCAAACTATTCTAGGAGGGAAAGAAAACCCAATACGGAAAGAAAAACCGAAAGTTACGTATTTAGTGGCTTTAATTCGGTAATGGCATTTGTTGCGGCTGAGAACGAAAATCGATATCTGCAAGATTTGCCACAGGCCGATTTTGATTTTTGCGTGACGCTCGGTAAGTTGTTAGTGGACGTTATCACATACCAGAAGAAAAAACTCTTTAGATTCTCAGTCTCCATTTTGTACCCACTCTGCAGTCTGCAGTCTTCATTTTGTACCTAATCTACATTTTGTATCCGGTCTGCAGTCTGCATTTTGTACGAACAGGTATTCGTGGCACCAATGTAGTTTATTTTTGGTTACAATTATTCGCACAACACACACAATCTACCACAAAATACCTGTGTGTGAGTTAATTCGACACTTTCGTTCTTTTCCGCGTTTATCAATAAAGGGCAAAATTACTGAGCGCTGATTGGTTGAGAGAGAGGGCATTTTTTCTTAATCGAGGGCATTTTTAGTAATCAAGAGAGGGCATGATTACCTGTTAATGATTGGCTAATCCGTTGCATAGCAACCGTTCGTTATCTTGAAATTTGTTATCAAGTTTTTGTTGGCAGAAACGCTCTGTTGAAATGAGCTTTGTTTTCTAGACTTTTGGCAGTGTATCACGACACAGTTTTGGAGAATAAAATTTCATTGAATCGATTGGTCAGTTCAATTTGATTGATGATTTGCCGTAGCGCTAAACAGGCTTCCCAGATAAAAATAGATTGCGCGCGTGATTTTCCTTCGTATAAATTTTGCCCTTTATTGATAAACAAGTAATCCCATGAGACCTCGCACTATTAAGGATTAATTGCACTTGAGTTTTCAAAATTTTGGAAAATTTTGAAAACTCTCGTGCGATTAATCCTTAATAGTACTTGGCCTCATGTGATTACCTATACTAATACTCTTTTCTTTTTGTTAAAAAATGTAGACATCTCTTACAATGTTTCAAGTAATCCACCCACCCAAAAAAAATAACTCTTGCATGCATAGCATGCCTATGTTTGCTGTCTGTTATTGCATAAACAATAGCCCCCATTTGGCGCGAAAGTATGCACGGATATTTGTCCGCGGACATTATCTGTTCCAAGATGCGAACAGTTTTCAGAGCAAAGCTCGGGGATAACTGTGAGCTTCGTCATAATTACCTTAGGTAGTTGACAAAACATCAGAATATCTCCCGTCAAAATAAGTAGTTTACTGAACAACCGTATTTGCGTACAAAAATTGCTTCATGACTTTAAAAAGGCCAGCTAAATTCATTAAACTATTTCACTTCACGTGTACGACAATGGCTTTAGCTATAAGCTTAAATGTCTGTGAATCTCAACTAAAATTTTTCAAAAAACCTTTGAATTATTTTAGCGGGTAACTTCACAAACAGCTCCATAAACTTCGATTATGAAATGCTAAGTTCTTTGCTCAAAAATGACATTGTGTCTGATACTGGAATGAGCAGCTCAAGTCACTTAAAATTCCTAATGTCAATCCTCATGTGTACTTCTCACTTCTTGAATGAACTTGGTGTTATTTGTAATATAAAAATTCAACCTGAGGTAGTGCTTGTTTCACGATAGATTTCACCCTGTCTTTTTCTCCCAGCGGATTGCCTTGTAGCCACAGTCTCATTAGATCAGGAATGGATCTCAAACCATCCAACAAACCACGCAAGTCCCCCTTACCCAAATTTGAATAACTAAGCTCAACGAACCATAAGTTGGGAAAGAAGTTAAGACGCCCAATCAATGGAGCGAGACAACCTCTGCAACTGAAAGAAGAGAGTTTTAAAATTTTTAAAGCCGGAAATATTTTGTTCAATCCGCCAAATAGTGCCTTAATTTCCTTCTCTTGTACGGTGCTCGAGTTCCTCCCTTTTAACGAGAGTCTCTTTAGAGACGACATTTCAGGAAGTGACCGACCGAGTGCCGCGGCTGTTGCCGAAGTCAATCTGATGTTCCACAGTTCCAGTTTCACAATAGTCTTGTGCGTGATGCTAGAAAACAGTTTGTTTTCTGCTTCAGAACAGCAGGAGTTATCCAATTCAATACTACATGTGATGAGGTTGTTAAACCTTGGTAACAAACCAGCGAGCTTTAATATTTCAGACGATTTCACACGCAACGTAATTCCCAGCTTCAACCGACACGTGAGAGGATTTGGTATTTGTTCTAGACATTCAAAAGCACTCTCATTTAACGCCTTCAATCCGATGCTTTCGAAATTCTTACAGTCTCTAATTATTGTACTAAAACAGCGCACTATGTGCTCGTTAACGTGTAAACCAATTTGCAGAGATCTAAGAAATTTCAGAGATGACGGCTCGAAACACAAACTGGTGGAAGGAGATTGAGTAAAATTCTCAGTGAATAGTCTTGCATGGTCATCACACCTCAATGACAATTCAGTGAAGTAAAACAGTGACTGGCCTCTGTGGAAATGAAGAATGCAACAAAAAGTACAATTGTCACATCTGACTGCTTCGAATTTACTTAAAAATTCAAAAACTGAAACAGCTGCTGAATTCTCAGATGTTTTCAGCGGAATGTCTAAGCAATTGAGAAACTGAAGGGACTCACACAGTTCTGTCATTTTCCAACTCCACCAGTAATCATCCCACACTACACCACGAACCAAAACTTCATTTAAAATTTTCCGTCTCGGCACAAAGTCAAAAATTGATCTTACATATTTCAAAAGTAAGATGATCCCATCGGTACAATTTAAACAATGTCTAAAAAGTTCAGTTTTGGATTCAACCTCATCGAATGAATCGTACACAAGGTGCAAGAAGCTCCTCTGCTCGACAGTGACGTCACATAATGTTACATCTGTCTCACTTTGTTCATAGGGCATTGTCTTCGATAAATCCAGATTTGGGTCAGAGATTCTAACCGATCTCAAGTGTTCAAAAACCTTCACTGCTCCATCATCAGACAAACCGCAAATAAACTGAAAGACATTTTCCAAGGACCTGCACTTGTCCAAAGTTCGGGCGCGGTCGTTAATTTCACCGAGATTTCCTTGAGTGACACATTGGTTGGTGATATACCATGCTGCTAGGAACTCTTGAATGCTCTTGTGAATAAAAGACACCATCTTTGCTGGTCGAACATTTTCTGTGTACTCACTGAGTTGAAATAAGCCTATAATCTGACTCTTTTCACAAAGGATGACAGTAGACAGTTGATCATATTCGAATACATGATCGTTCTTTAGCAGACATTCTAGAGCCACTTTTCCGATTTTAGCCAGAACATCTTTAAAGTCTTTAACTTCGCGAAAGTTAGTAGGAGAACATTTTCCTTCATTATGATCCAAAACGCACTGGACGATCGCAAAGTACAATTTTGCCTTCGAGTCAGGAAAACTCTGTAACTTTTCCTTTTTCCACAGAGTGCAAAAGAACAGGAGAAGTAGCGGAACTCTCGCCAGATCGTCCAGCTTTCGCTCGTTGAGATGATCCCATAGCGCTATTGCTTGTGTTTTGCCACCAAGCATTGTGATCATAAAGGAGTTTCTGTCCTCTTCGCTGAACCCAGTGATCTCAGCATGCAAGTCCCTATATTGTTTCAGCTCATCAGCTCTGGAAATTCGAGTTGTTATCAACACACAACAGTTTCTTAGCTTGTTTCTTTTGAATATCTCAAAGATTTCAGAGTTACTTCCGAAACAATATTCGTCGTATCCATCGAAAACTAGGAGAACTTTCTCTTGGTTGCGGGTGATGTAACGCAGCAGGTCGTCCGTCATGGCTGTGTCCTCATCGGCAAAAATATTGGAAGCGCTTATGATATCTCTGAGGTTTTGGTATTTAGATACCTTTGTGAGATCAATAATAACAGCAAGCTCGAACTTCTTCAGGATAGCTCTCTGTTCATCTGTCAACCTGTTTTCGTCCAGTTCAGCCCAGTCCATAGCCAGTTTCTTCACAAACATGCTCTTCCCTATTCCAGTCTGTCCTTGCACGAGTATCCTGTTTGATGGCAATCCGTTCTTTGTTTCAGTGAACACATCAGTGTAGTGATTCAGCTCAGGCTGTGATTTTCCAGCTGGGGTTTGTTTCACTTTCACCAAGGACAGTCGAGTGTAGATCGCGTGAATATCCAGGGTATCGTTTTTGGACCACACAGAGGTTGGCACCGTGGCGGTTCTCTTGTAATGCTCTGCAAGTTTTTTCCGACAAATTGTAACATCAAAACTGTTCCCAGGAAGGCGGTCTGCTCGGAGAAAACAACGAGTCGATAAACATAACAAGTAGTATATAAAATACCAAAGATAGTAAAGTTTGAGCGTGCTTATAAAAGGAAGCTTCTTTTGTTTCCTCACGATTTTTTTGAATGAGGACTCAATTTTTTTTGTCCCCCGCTTGCTGCAAAACGAGGAAACATCTTTCTTTATTTCATTAGCGAGCTCAAAATTTACCTTCTTTCTTTTTCTATTCAAGCATGACGCTTTCGACTTAAGGATCCTGGCAGTAGGCACGTTTACTTACACATAATTATTGTCACCTAAAAATAATTGCCTGGAAATCCGTCTTCATACGTCTTCATTGAAGTTCCAGTAAGCTTTACTTATCGGTCTGTTACAGCATCAATATATATCGTGGGCTGGTAACTCAGCTGTTTGAACCAACCTCTTTCTTCATGTGAACGCACTAATTTCGGATTGCTAAGACTTAATTTCAGTGAAAATACTGTTGAAGACAGAGTAGAGTCGTTTCGCTCCTTGTAGTTTGAGGTTCAACATGCATTATCGATAAATCTGGACCCATCGAATTGAAAGCCAGCCACTCGACATTTGAAATTTGGAACTGTTTCAGGGAATATGGTAAAACTACTTGGTATTGTGTCGCAGATAGTAATAGCCTCTGTACAAAGGAAGTCCATTAAATTTGGGTTCCGCTTAATACAGCTTTAACCGTCATGAAATAATTCAATAACGAATATTTTAGATTAACTAATATTGTTAAAAAATTACCATATTCACAACAAATTCGTTCTGCTAAGTCTTTGCGCTGCACGAGTTTATGCCGTAATGCAGAATTCAAAATTTGATACGTTGCTTCACGACCATTCTCCTGTTTCCAGTGCATTAACATGTGGTATCCTCTCTCACTCAGCTCCTCATATCTTTGTTTTATATTCTGTAGTTTTGGCTCCTTGACCTCCAAGCGACGCCCAAGCTTCATCCACTTTTCACCAATTTCGTCTCCTAATTCTTCCAATACCTCATTTTTTGGTCTGCCTTGTTTTACTAAACAAAGAAATAACTTTCAGAGTTCTTAACTAGTAGTTACTGTGTTTCTTAAACAAGATTAACCAATCACACACGGGAAACGAATAATTCCAACTTCACCCAATTGTGTCAATCAGCTCTAAGAACCAAAGTAAACAGAGATGATAAATAATAGATATTATGCACTCCACTATGCACACTGGTTTCAAATAATGAAAACTCATCCAAGTCTCGTTTACCGCTTTCTTGTGTTTTTGTGTGATTTTTTTTTAACTCTTCAGTGTCTTGAGAATTCTCTTAAATTAAAATCAATCAGCCTGTAACTTAAAGTAAGGCTTGGGGTCTTAGCTGGGTATTCCGATGTAAACGTGTATAAGGCCAGTAGAGATGGAAATCATTCCTTGATTGGTATGTTCAGTTTTAGTGATCCCGGTAACAATCGACAGCCATAGATGATAAGACAACCCCATACAGAGCTAAAGCCAGCAGCTCATTCGGAATGCTCTGAACGTTGATTGTGGGACGAACATGGCGTTACATTGCATACACAAGTTAAGGTGAACAAAGAAGCCATTCTCACCGCATCTTTCTGTGTGGCTGTGAGAACTGCTTCTTTGGGTTGTGTTGTTCGGCAAGACACAACTCATTCGGCATCTTATCGCCGCATAAGGACACTCGCACCACCTGTAATCCTTCCTTTAACTGCTCTATGAGAGGGCTACCCCGGACATCAGCTTTTTGTAAGTAAGAGCATGGTTTATTTTCTATCAAGTTTGCATTGAAAAACCTCCATGCAACGAAACTTAAAATGTCTTAACATAATTTTTAAAGCATTCTCATCTCTTAAGTAATACTATAATTAAAATTATATTTAAAAATATACATTAGGCTTCTTAAATGAACAGCAGTTACTTTTTCTTACAGATTCATTCCTGAAATATATGACTAACAATAGGCCATATTATAGTTGTGTACTTAGTTGCAAAGCCTTTGATTTGGAGCGAGGCTGAAGTTGACCATGTTGCGATAGATACCAGTATCTAGTTAGCATAGAAAACAAAGTAATTTACATTTGAAAACCAGCAAGTATCAAAGCATGGTCACCCTTAGCCTCACTCCTGTTCAAAGGCTTGGCAACCAAGCACACAACTGCAAAATGGACTGGGTTGTGTCCTCGTGTACCGGTACACAAAGGAACGAAACATTAACGAACTGCGTCACAACTCCATGTATGGATATGAAAACAATAGGAATTCCCCCGTGTACCGGTACACCAAGACAGCCCCATGGACTGTTACCTGCTGTGTCCACAAAAGCAACTTTGGGTTGTTTACAATCCCAGTTACTGCGGCCAGGGAACATTCTCCTCTTTCTACGTCTTTTTCCTGAAAAAAGGAAATCATGTTTAATTCACTCTTTTATCCTTACGCATTAATAATCAACAATTATTCACCAAAGTTAAGGCAAATATCCACTGCTTTCACGGAAGTGAATAATTGTTTTAGCATGTATACCACATGGAACCGAAAAAATTGGTTCATTTCTGTCAATATACCAAAGAAAGGTATAAAGCCTCTTTGGCTGCTTGGAGGTAAGTAGAATTAGCTAATCACTTCTGAACCAGCCAATCAGCACACACAAAAGCACTATTCACTTGTATGGCATAAACTAAAAAGGGATATATTATGATATCTTGAAGGGTGTAAGACAAAATGATGTCAAAGGGTAGATTATAGCAACTTACCTTCTTCTTGAAAGGATCTTAATTTTCACAAATTGTTAGGGAATCCTACATGTACCCATACAAAATTTGCAGTGCTATTACTTAAATTGCACCTTGCATGTAATTTAGGGAAAAATTAAAGTGGCCAGCATTACTAAATGCAATGAAGTAGATCAAAGGATTTTAATTAAAACTGACAAGCTTTAAGAGAAGAACAATTGAAAAAATGCAGCAGCAAATGAGATGTTAAAGTATTTATTGATGAAACAACATAAAAATAACACTCAAACAAACCTATGATGATATAAATTTGAAGTGCCATGGGTAACGTTCAGAACAAACAGCTCTTCAAAGTTTAAAAAATGTAAATATACAGAAAGGGTGACGAAATACTACAAGTAAAAACCATTTAAGGTTACTTATTTAGTTCTTCTAAAAAGCATCCACAACTATCTTTGGGTGTCAACTACATATTGGAGCTGAAATATTGCTTGAGTCAGTACCTGTTGCAGAAGACCTGGAGTGAGGAATATTTGAACAAGCCTGGAAGAAGGGAAAACACACGCATTGTCAGCTTATCAGTAGATCAAGATCAATGAATGCAACAATACAATGAAAAGGCATAAGTCAGAGCCATTTAGAGTTGTATCTGTAAAGTAATGCAGTCTATTTTGGGAATTTCCTTTTGTGCACCACATGAAAAGTTAGATCAATCAAAGTAAACTGGTAAACATTTGAGTTCATAGGATGACCAAGTCAAATCCAAGTCCCAGTCATGAGCTGAGTGACTTGAAGCCTATTAAATACGTCTACAGGCCCTTTCAGAATCATTTTCAAAGTGTATCCAGGTGCTCATCCTTTAATACGAGTGTTTAAGTTTTCCCTCACATGCAAATTAAACTCATTTTCATAAGAATGGTTGAGCATCAGGGCTTGATTTAAAGAGGCAAAAGGTAATTCAGAAATGGCCTATTATAATTATCACAAGTATTATCATTATCACAATAATAAATTATTATTGTTATTATTAGTATAACCATTATCATCATTATTGTCACATTTGGTTTAACTGGACGATAAGAACCCTCTGCAGGCACTCTTTGAAAAATAATAGGCAGTCTGAGACTGCATGTGACTATTGATTAAGCATAGTTTTAACTGCATTGAACAAATATAAAGATTGTATAATGACGCTAGAAAGTAGTGTTACAGAAGATTTGTATTTATGTACATGCAAAACAGAAAACCTGCCACATCCAAAATGTTTATGAGTACCCTGTTTCCACAAGAGAAAGATGATTCATGAAAATATTCATTTGACTGATTAACATTCAATCAATAACTAAATGGTAACAAGTAATTGTATCAACAACAATAATAATGATAACAATAGTAATTTAATAATAATTTACAAAGGCTTGCTTGAAAGCCTCATGGTTACCCTTTCTTCTACACTTCAATAATAATTAGCTATGTTTCTTTTAATTTTGCCAGCCTGTTTATCATCTTCTGCTGTCTTCTACAGAGTTATAGCAAGAACTGAAAGCATAAGGCAATAGTGGCTACAGGCCTGAAATCCCTTAAGGAGCACAAGGCAAAAGTTTCAATAAAAATACAGGATAACTCATGCAAAACACAAGGTAGAGTAACAAGAAATTCAAATTTTCACCTCATTTGCAGGAAAAGAAGCTGAAGAACCACTGGGCATACACTTGGCTGGTTTTTCTGGTTGAGTAGGTGTTTCTTGAGAAGAATAAAAAGCTGACATTGCTGGTTCATTTTCAGGTCTGTGCAATGCAGTTAAAGTGTTGAAAGTTGACTCTCCTGTAGTCTGTATCTCCCTTCTGTCATCCATATGTGGCTCAGGTGCAGTGTTCACACAAGATGTCAGGAGAAAATCTGAGGTCAAAAAGACAAAGTGAGGATATTAATTTGAATGGTTATGAATGAAATAAAGCTAAACTTGGAACAGGGCAAATCTCACTGGTATGCTGTAATTGAAGTAGAGAAACTCCTAACCCTGTATCAGAAGCATTGCATCAGAAGGCAACCTCATCATTTAAGCCATATAATCATGTTGAGTGGTTATGAAATTCAAAATAACATATTAGAATTCAAAGCTACTGCTGACTCTTGGGTGCTTAAAAAAAGAAAACTGCCACTTGTTTGGCTGTCTTCAGTTTGTTTGCACCCAGAACAATTGAGATATTTCAAGGTCTACACAAGCAGTTCTTCTAGGCATTGTAAAAACAGGACAATTCTTAACATAGCCTGTGTTATCTTGGACACTCATCTACTACCAACTGCATTTTTCATTGACATTAATTGCAGAAAATAACATATATTTGATGGCAAATTTGTGCTGCTTGCATGGCTTTTTAGAGCAAAGTGAAAGTAAATTTCTCTTTTATCCAACATTTAAAGGATAGATAATCTTCAAAAAGTTAGGTACATTAATTTTTATAAATAAAAACACCCAAACTTTTGCTTTCATTTAGTTTCAAAGGAAAGTCTAGTGAGTCTTAGCTAGAAAAATATGTCCTGAAACAGTTTCATTTTGCTTCTCCTGCTTCTACAAACATTGTAAAATCAAAATATCATGACAAGCTTAGCTGGCTGCACATTTAATGTGCAGCCAGCTAATTTGCATAAGTAATTCAAGCCAAGGTTTGACACCTCTTGGTAGTATGAGGTGTTCGCTGAACGTTCCAAGACATCCAATAATTGCTACAAAAAAGTTAATAAAGCTCCCCTTGACTGAAATGGGAAAAATCGCAACTTCCGATAATTACATTTCTAATCATTTTCCAGATACAACTCTACTTTGTTCCCTAATTGTCCAGAAACAAGAGTCCAGAAAAATGCTGCAAACAAACTTAATGGGTCTAATTTGAAATAACTAAGAGGTGGTACGCTAAGCATATTTTCTTTGGAGAAAGAATGCATGTCTTAAAGAAGACAACAGTAAATCGTAAACACAAGGTCCACAAATAGTCCTGACCAAATGTGACAGCAACAAATAACAGGAACTCAAAAATAGCCTAAAAAGCGGCACTGGTTAAGCTGATTTCACCTCCATGATCAAAGACTTAAGCCTATTTAAGGCTAACTCCGACAAACCCTTCTTTATACAGGTCATGGTTTTGAACTTTTAAAGTCAAGAAACTGTGTTGATTACATAATTCAGAGACTACAACTGACAGTCTCCCCATTTAGTCTACAAGCTTCAGTGCAATGCAACTACTTATAATGAACTTTTAAGCGTGAAGGTTTTGGAATGGCATTTTCAGCTTTTCCGAAGACATCACTCTTGCTAAAATCGACTATACACAGGTATACACTACCCAAGAGGGTATAGAAGATATTGAAAATAACCCTCAGGTGTACACTAACCAGGAGGGTATAGAAGAGATTAAAAGTTACCCTCAGGTATACACTACTTAAGAAGGTATAGAAGAGATTAAAAGTAACCCTTAGGTGCACACTAACCAAGAGGGTATAGAAGATATTAAAAGTAACCCTCAGGTATACACTAACCAATTCCCCATGATTACCGTATTTACCCGTGTATAATGCGCGCCTGTGTATAATACGCACCCTAATTTTTGACCTCTTTTTTCCAAAAAAAAAGATTTCATGACAAATAACAAGAATTAAAACTTCCATTTTTTCACTTAATTAACAAGAGCTGGGAATTCATCAACAATATGTTTACAACAATTTCTAACTAGTTGCTACTACAAATATCGAACGCACCGAGCACCTATTTACAAGCTTTTCTATTCAGTAACAGTCAAACGTTTTATAAATGTTGTAACTTGAAGTCCTTACTAATATACCTAAATTCACAACTTGAATTATTATCATAACAGCCGTTCATAAACATTATTTCTACTCACAGTACTGCTGGTAGCTTGAATATAATTACTGCATTGCAATTGCGTGATTTAAGTAAAATGTTCAGTGTCTTTAAACCGACTCACAGTCCGATTCGAATAGGTTTTCGATGACTGAATCCTCAAGTTCATCAGTGATCTCAGTTGAATTGTAAACCAATTCATCTTGTGATCCATTCGAATTGTTTGTGATCCCACACTTCAGAGAGAGGCAGCGATCATTTCTGATGGAATGCCTTCCTACGCTTGTGAAATATACGAACAGATCAGTTCCTCCGAAGCCTTTTTTTGTCGTCCAGTAAGTTCGTGAATTCCATCAGCCATCCACTCCTTTCGGACTCCATCTCTAAATGGTTTGTTCAAAGATACATCGAGCGACTGGAGAAGGGAAGTCCGCGTTTGAAGGAAGTGTTCACAGTATCTGTCATGTGAGCTTCAAATGAGTCGTAAACAAGCAAGCTCTTTCTCCTCCCCAGGCCATCGATCCGTGCACTTTTACTTTCTTCGTTGCGTTTTTAACGTATGCAAATTAGGACGTGCTTGACAAACAATAGAATCCGTGTATAATACGCACCGCGATTTTGATGCTTGTTTTTATGGAAAAAAAAAGTGCGCATTATACACGGGTAAATACGGTATTCGACTGGAGGCGTTTCCTGCCTAAAGTGTATGGTCGAGAGAGATTTGATTTACCACGTCAACAACAGGATTATATTTTGAGACCTCACAAATCCATCTGCTAGAAATTCTCGCTGTCTAATCAGTCCAGCATAGAAAACAAATGAACATAGAACATACATGTTGTTTGGTTACTTGGCATTGAATGAACAGCCTTTATTGGCACGCTCAAGACCTGCTGGCAGGCCAGAACAGCTTTTACTTAGGGTAGAAGAGCACAGAACACATCATCACAATGGAATGTGCTGCACATAAAATTAATCACCTTAGAGTAACCTTGAAATGTGTGATGTGTGATTAGCTTACTCGCAGGTAGTGCGGAAGTGTGGAAATGTGGAAATATGCAAATATGCAAATGAGCCTTTACCTTTCTCATATTCATCTTAACTTGGTAGTGTGGAAATGAGGAAGTTTGGAAGTGTGGAAGTTTGGAAATCTGGAAATATGCAAATGACCTTTACCTTTCTCACATTTATCTTAACCTGCTATAGTGGTAGTGTGGAAGTGTTCCGATCGATCGAAGACTTCGGCCTCCATGATGAGATCGCGCCAAGTGATTCGAATCCAAGATTTATTGAGTTTTCTTAATTGGAATTCGCGCTTAGATAAATTATTAGGTGAACCTTCAACTTATAATCATCGGGTTTAAGTAACCGCATAGCCACCTACCGACTGCAAGCGTCAATGTAATTCTCTACACTGATGTAGCGCCTCCGTAGAATGCATGCACGAATTTTTTTTCGGGGCCAAAGCTCCTCATGAAAGGTTCGAAATAAATCCCTTCAGCATGCAGGAATTTCAAGATGAAAAACTACCAAAGAAGAGGTGAATTCAATGTTTGCTAAGAGTGTTTGTAATTAAAAAAGACCAAACATTTGATCCATCTTAACACCACCATTACCCTAGCAAACGACACTTCTTCGTTCAAATGCCGTCTAAATTATCTCGCATAATTCGAACGATTTCAGTCTGCGTCCTGTCAGAACCTATTTTAATACAAAATTTGCTTCTTTCTTCTTGGCTTTCTGAGTGTCAAGCTCTTATCGAGACGTTCCGTGAACCTTTAGAAGCGATTGCCAAGCTATCTTTTTTACCTGGCTACTAATCTTCATTCCAGGTGATTTGATATTACATCAGTAGGAGGCGACTTTGTGAAAAATTGAGCTTGGAGCTGTTGTAAATTTCAGGGACGAAGATAATTGATGTCACCCTCTAAGAGATGAATATCATCGTATTGCAACAAAAGCAAGGCGACGACTGTAAAAATAATGGTAGATCAAAGTATAACAATGATATATTTGGGGCAAGCGATCACGAAGGGACGGAAATTAAAATCAATACGAAAATGAAAGCAACTTTCCTCCGAAGCGGAAGTGAATAGCGGGCGCGCACTTCATTCATAGATACAACTCAATAGGCACAACTAGAAATAATCATCTAACTTATACCTTATCTATGTAAACATACCTTAGCGCCTTGAATATATACAAAAAGTCACCTAGTCCACCCGAGAAAGAAAAAGAGTATTCTTCACTGATATTATGCGACATGAGCCAAATTAACACCTAATTTCCTGCCTTTAGTCACGTGGTTAGTAAGGAATGTAAGGAATGAGAGAAATAGGACTCCTAGATAATGGTACTCTAATTATACTCTCAGGTCTGATTATCTACACAAAGTTTAGCTGTTGTTTAACATAACTGTGTCGTAAACTATCTTTAATTTAGCTGAACCTTAACTCTGAACATTAGATTTTGTGAACAGTGTAAAGAGAACCTATAGCTGAAAAAGGAAGGAGTGGATAGTGAAAGCCATGTTCCAACTAAACAGACATTTTTTTGTTGACAAAAAATATAAACAATTTATACTTAGGACAGTTAAAATATTTTAGTCTTAAAGCACTTCATTTTGGTGCTTTTTATTACTTTTTTCTCCCATTGAGAAGACTATCAGCTTTCTTTACCGCACCACACTTAGATTGATGAGCCAGTGTATCTATGCCCAGTTCCATTAAACAGGTTAAACTACATGATTGACATGTAAGATTTGGGAAAACCCTATAATGCCCATGCAATAGGCAACCAGAAAAGTAACCATGATTTATATACACAAACAATATTTCGAACAAAAACAGTAGTATAGAAAACCAGAAAACACTGTATTATAATGTTTGTAATAATTTATTTAAAAAATTAATAATTTAATTATCTATAATTATTATAATAATATGCCTCCTAGGACCAATTTATTTCTTAAGTTTCAAGAAGAGGGGGGGGTTACTAGTAGGAGGCCTGTAAGGGCAGCAAAGCTCATTAAAAATTCTAATAAATACATTGAACAGTTAACATTCTTTAGGTGGAAAACATGATATTCAAAAGGGAAACAAACAAAGATTTTTAAATACATGTATTTATCATGCTGAAGCACTACTGAGCTGAAAAGACAACAATACCCACAGAGCTTTTACATCATTTCCCCAGAA